TAATTAAGGTCAAAACTGGGCCCGTAGTTCACCAAAAGGCTTTGTAGCAGAGAGCCTAGGGCTCCTGTTACTTTCAGCAGGGAGAAACTGCCTAGGGAGGTTCCCCAGATGGGGAAAGATTGTGCTTGAGGGGCAGCAGTAGAACTGGCTACCAGAGGGAGTTATAGGCTAGAAGTGCCAACTGCAGAGCACAGTCTGTGTGGGCAGTAGGAAGCTTATTGCTTAATAGCAGTAGTGCAATAGGGCAGAACCCTGCATAGGAGACCAGATACTGCTATAGCAGTAGCCAGCAGCAGTAAGCTACCCTATAGACTAGTCAGCAAGCCTAACTGGAAAGTGCCTGCAGCCAGCTCAGACAAGTCACCTGATTGGAAAGGGGTCAGGTGGGGTGAGAGCCAGGGTCAGGGACCAATGGCCCGTGAGAAACAAGAACCAGGGTCAGGGACCAATAGCCCAGAAGGGGAAAGAACTATTGCCAGGAGGGTTGATAACCATAGTTCAGGAGGGGTGAGATCAGCTCTGAAAGGCAGAGACTCTGAAAGTCAGGAGCCCAGCTGCCCAGAAGGGTCACCAAAGCAAAAAGCACAAGGGCCAGAGGCTCAGGAAGGCTGATAACTGACAGAGCTGAAGCTGAGAGAACCGGGCCCAAATCTGTGGTCCAGGGCTGAAGGCTTACAACCAGAGAAAAGGAAGACAGAAACTAAGAAGGCTGAAGCCTCTACAAGGGCCAGAACGGTACTGAGTAAAACCTGTGAGGCATGGGCATGCCTGTATGGGAGGTTGGATGCCATGAAGGCAACAGGTGCCCTGGGGTACATCCAGGCCAGGAAGGTACTGACGCACCAGGTTTGGGCTAGTAAGGTTCAGGAGGGGACTCAGTGGCAAAGGAACGATGAGGGTATGTTCTAGGACCCTTAGGCAGCTTCCATTTAACAAGCTAACAATTATATCAAGGGGTGGCAGATGAGAGCAGAAGAGAGGGTACCTAGATTTAGAGTAAGGCAGTAGATGTTTGGCCACCAGGGGGCACCACAGCCACCCCTGGAGCCCCCTTGGGCTACAGGTCTCTTGCCAAATAATATTATCTTAAAACAAGCTGAAAAGAAATTCAGTCTGAGACTCAGGGATACTAGAGTGGTGATGGGAGAAAAAGATAATTTCTAGGGTCCAGAACAGAAAAGGGACAAGAATGGATGTGTGCATTTGAAGGCAACTGCTTGGCATAGAGGGATATTTAGACAGATGCTCCATTGACTTTGATGGAGTTACGACCACTCACACTAGCTGAGGAGCTGCCTAATACATATATCCTAAAGGCCCCAAAATGCAGGGTTAGAAGGTTATGTAGGTAAGATTATATAATATATATATATAATTTTTTATGATGTGTGTGTGTGCATGTGTGTAAACCACACAATTAAACCCTTGCGACTTAATAGTTCCATTATCTTAGTAGAAGTCAGGTAGTGCTTAGGAGATTACTAATTAATGGCGCCCAGCAGCGACTCCTCGTGATTGCTATTTGTGTACCTCATACTGTCCTGGAATTGATTATTTCAGATATTGATATGTATGGTACTATAACCTCATGATCTGACTCAGATATTTTAAAACCAATATAGTTTTTGTACCCAATCTAGACCCTGACTCCACTGCTGAGTGACAGAAACTGCAGATGAAATTATTTGCAAATGCAAAGTAAGGCACAGGGGTATGGACAGAAAGTACAATTGCAATGAAGGGACAGAACTTATTGCACTTCAGGCTGATCCATTATAATTGTTTAATCTATTCACTGTAGCTCACCTGTTGTTGGTTCAGAGGATCGGGTCCTACTACACAGTTTGAATAAGCATGCAGTAGTTATTCAGTGAGTATAAGCTTAGTGTAGCCTTTATTCTTATTATTAGCCTGGTGATCAGGCTGGCTGATGGCAGGGATAGTGCAACATTGAACACAAATCCAAAGTGCATTTCTATTTTATTATTTTTATACATTAGATGTGCTTACATCAAACCCATAGCATTGCCCACACACGATCAAACATGTGTGGTGCCATGCACCTTACAATTTCCTGATTAATGAACTTATTTAATTACAACATTTTTGCATACCTTCCCAGGGACATAGTGGGTTTTGCTGTACCATGTTACATGTTTTCTTTATCTCCTCTACCAGTTTGTATGGATTTTGTTCACTCACAATGCGCTGAATAAATATAAAATGTTCTCATGCACTCTGTTGCTTCCCACAGAACTTGAGACTTGCAGGCTGTTAACTCTTACTGCTCCTGGCCCACACCGGAGTAAAGGGGAGTTTAACCATGGTTACTTAGCAGTTCACCCCTTCTGGTGTAAGGTGCACTGGTTTCTGTGCTTATTGTAGGGTAGTAATGAAACAGAATGCATCACCTGACAGGAACTTCCAAGCAGTAAGTCTACCTTCATTATAGAAGTATAATTGTTGCATCTCACCACACCTTGTGTCTGATTCCACATCTAAACTAGGGGATTAGACATTTGCAAATGCTTGAGGGTGCACAATCTGGTTGAAATTTTTACCTATAAAAATGGATTCCAATGGCTTGAAAATATGATTTGGTCTATGTTGTTTTTATGGCAGGTTTGTATATTAACAATATAGACATATGCACATCTACAGTAGTATGTTATTGCTCTGCATAATTTTCATTATGTATAAATTCATTTTCAAGGTTTACTTTTCTGATCAAATAAAATAGAAATTTTAAACCAGACCACATGGATATAAAATAAATTTGAACTGTATAAAATATATAACAACCACTCTGCAGCATTGGCTGCAGGGACATCAAACATCTGGTCATTGGAAAATATCTGGTTTGTGGAGCTGTTCCCTCCAGCCTGCAGGTAAAATGGACCATATTTCCCCTGTAAGAAACAGGGAGTGAGAGGACAGAGAATTCAGAACTCTATTTTAGTGGTTGGGGCACCTAGTTAGGAAGTCTGAGTCCCAGACTATGTATTTTATCTCTTGATGATTTAACATAGTTTTTCAGTTGTAGAGATATGATTTGCAAACCTGGGAGAGATTAGGTGGTTGTAAACCCACTACCTAGAGCAGTAGAGAGCAAAGCAGTGGAACAAAGTCCAGAGCTGGATTATTTCCATATCAGTTTTATCATCCCTTGTGAACTGAGAAACCCTATTGTTTTAAGCTGTAGCAGAGAAATTCCCTGTCCTCTTTCACAGGGCCTTTCCTAAGATTGATATGATGTTTGGTTCAACAATATGGTTGCAACATGGATCTCTATTAAGGATTAATTAGATGGGCTGGGAATCTAACTAGAGAAATGCAGAATAGACCTCACAGCTCCTGTGCTTGAAGTCTTTCCTCTATCTATAAAGCAGGTGCAGCAAGGGCCTGGCCCGGCCCCTGGGAGTGTGCGTAGTAGCAGAGAGCAGTCCTCGCCTGCTGGATGAACTGCTCGTGCCCCTGTCCCGTTCCCCAACAACGCCCTGCGGCCATGCATTGCGCCCTGGGTCCCAAGCCCCAGGCACTGCCCAGCTGCGCAGTAGCCCCAGCCCCAGCTCTGCCCATCTCCTTCCCTTCCCCTCTATGAGGGCCTCAGTCCCGCACGCTTACCTGTGGGAGGTGCTCTCCAGGCTGCCTGGTGACCATGTGCATTAGGGGTGTGCAAAATGGGCCGTATTCGATTTGGATTTGGCCTGATTTGGGGGACAGCAATTCTATTCACTGGTTTGGATCACTGTCTCAATTTGATTTGGCCAAATCCAAATCTGAAGATTTGATTCTGATTTTGAGAATCAATGATTCGGCCGTAGACACAGCTTTATATGTTTTTTCTACGTACCTTGAGGTACCAGGCATGGCTTGTGAATGCTGCGATGCTGAGGAGGATGGAGCGTCACATAGGATTGTCGGGGCGGGGGGGGTCCTCACGTGCTCGGCAGCGCACCCAGAAGTTGACTGGAAGTACTTCCAGTCCACTTCTGGGTCCACCACCATGTGTGGAGCACTCCCCCAGCTGCACTCCCCCAGCTGCACTCCCCCAGCTTGACGATCAGCCATGGGGGGACCCCAGGTGCCCCCCAGACCCAGAAGGCACCAGTTGCTGAACCAGGGGGCGGGGGAGGTTCCCCCTGTGCTCCGCAGCTGGCCTGGAAGTGGACTGGAAGTGGACTGGAAGTGCATTGCTGAGCATGCTGCCCCTCACCCTCACACTCCTGTAGGATGCTCCTTCTGCCCCACCATCTCAGCATTCATGAGCTGCGTGGTACCTTGAGGTATATAGAAAAAAGATATAAAGCTGTGTCTATGTCCAAGTCATTGAATCTCTCCCAATCTCTCCAAATCAAATTGGAGGCTTCTGGTTAGATTTGGAGAGATTAATGGACCTCCTGATTTGATTTGGATCTTGTTTTGCCACTAAACCGATGTGTTGCATGATAAAGTAGTTAAGTTATCTTGCTTCAGAGCTAGAGTCATGAGTTCATTTGATTTGTGTTGATGGCAGCTCCCAGTTGATCCAGCTTTCAGTGGCTTCTTGGTCATTTGGATTGGAGGGTCAAAGGCAGCTGGACATGATACTAGACCTTTATGTGCCATTACCACAGTAGCCTGTGGGCTCACCTAGGCTCAGGTGGACTGAATACGTATCAGCTCTGAGCTACGATCATTTAGAGAGATAACCAGCATCTATGACCTTGAAGTGAGAAGCTCTATATCCTGTTATCAATTTCTTCATGCATCCAGGCCTCCTCTAATAACACTCATTTTTATAGACTGTTATTTGATAAAATAAGATCCCAGACAGACTACTGTATGATATGTCCATGGATATTTCTGAGTATGGGCAATATAAAATGCCTTTTTGATTAAAATCATTTAAGGCATTCAGTACAGTGTGGGAATGACACAGATAAAGCAGTCAAATGCTGGCTATTCATTATTATTGGCTATAAGCAGTTAAAAAAGAATGGAAGAAGCAGACACTATTGAGTTGTACAGATTTCCAATGCACAATAAAACTTTTTATTTAAAAACAATGCATTCAATATTGTGTTTTGGCACATGAGTCAATGTTGCAGGCACATTCACACCAAACAATAACATTGTTGAGAGATTCAAAATGAATTGTTGCATTTTTCTTCACAAACTATGGTCACAATAAATATGCAGGATTCCTCTACAAAAAGAAACAGGTTCCTCATTCACAAGTATGACAACATATTTACATGTACAATACACTCTGCAGGCCACATTCAAATCTCAGATGTGTGGCCACATCTGGTACATATTAAATAATGCCCCGGGGACCAATCCTGATCCCACTGAAGCTAACAGTGACTCTTCAATGGGAGCAAGATTGAATGCCAATTTTGCTTGCAACATATTTCATAACATGTGCAGCTTTGCATGCCATTCACCTGAGATTATATCCTGGCCCTTAGTGGACATTTACTATCTAAAAATAAATAATACTTCTAATATGGCCATTAATTAATGAATGCTTTATTACAATTATGGCAGATTTTTTTTTCCAATATTTATGGTTTTTTTTAGTGAAAACAATTCCAGCAAGCATTGAACTGTATGGTCATTAGAATAAAAACACATTCATTTACAGAAATTCTGCTTTCTAGGTAATTTCTTTTTGCAATCTCCATTCATAGTTAGTTATATTTCACAACCCTGGCTTTTTGGTATACTCACCTGTTAAAACAAATGTTAAGCTGGTAGCCAGAATGACTTTACATGTGTCCTACTTAAATGTAGCATTCACTGAAAAGATGCTAGGAATTAAAATGTGAAATAAAGATATATAAAGTAAGAAAAAGTAATATGCATACATTTCAGTTTTTTATGTACATTTCTATTTTTGTGTTTTTCTACTTCATGAACCTGTACCCAATATAAAAAATAACATCTTAGCTCAGTTCCTGTACTACATTCTCACACTTCTTTGTGAGTTTATACATGCATATTCTCATACTCTTGCAGGTCTTCATAATAGATTGGATGGCTTTTACCCACCAAGAAAAAAATATGCATGTAGTTACGCATATATACATTTAATCCTGCTCCTCCTCTCACTGAAGTCAACTGGAGGTTTGTCACTGAGGTCAGTGGAAGCAGGAGAGGTTTTTAGGGAGTATATGATGGTAATAAGAACAGAAAAAAGTCCTGAGGTCATCAGACCTAAGATCTTATTACTTAGGTGTATGAAGCCTAGGTCAACTATTATGGATCGAATGCATACAGTCCGCTTCACCTAGTGAATGCTGCCCTAGAGCAGCATTCAGACCATGAACCCTGTAACTTTTTCATAACTCATCTCCATTTTCAAACAATCCCATGGTAGATATTCTGTCTTCCCAAGACAGGGCCATATAAGTTCAGGGCCCTGATTGTCCTTCTCCTTGGAACCAAAAACAATGGTTCCATTTAATTGAAAGTAAAACTGCTTTATAGTCACATTTATTATTTATATCAGGTTGCATGTATTTTCATTTGTCTGTATCTATCCATCTAGACATTCAGTTATAGCAATGAATATTTTCCCTGTATTGTCATAAATGCATGTAGATAGATATAAACAAGATGGAATACAGGCTACAGGGGAAAGGAAAGAAGAGTCTAGTTAATAAGGTAACACATTCAGATGAGATTTCCTCTCTTGGGTACAGAAGAGTGCAATTAGTGCCTTCCTTCATGTAGGGGAAAAAGAAAGATGTACCAGAGGGGACAAACTGAAGGAGTTCCACATCAGTCTGCCTGAGAGAGAAACTAAGTCAGAGCTTACCCACGGTCTCCCTATTCCTACCTCTTCTCCATGAAGCACCATTCATTTTCTCATCTATACATACCCCTTAGCTCTGACCCGCCAATGAAACACAACCAGAGTCCACCATGCTTAGTCATCATGGGAATCATCATGGAGTAAGGTGGGAGTCATCATGGAGTAAGGTGCTAACACCTCATTGTAAGAGTGGCAAAATCTGGACCTTCCTTGGCTTTGGCCTCTGAACAGTGCAGCACCAAGCATGATTGATCAGATCCCTGACTCTTTTTCAGGGTCATCTATCACCAGCAATCCATGTTTCCTCAGTTAAAAGGGAGAACAGCTTTTTGCTTCCATGTAAAATCAGAATTATATGGCCCATGAGAACAGGATCTGCCCCATAAATACTGCTGCTGTTTTAATTTGCATAATGCATCCAATCATTTTGGTTCTAACTAAGAGAAGAACTGAAAGAATGTACAGGAGAATATACAGCTACGAACACCACACATTGTTTTACCAACCCTCTTCTATATTGCAGAAAACCTGAACAAAGAATATTGATACTAAAAAGCAATTTTCTTTGGGCTGTATCATGCCATTGATTTTGAAGCAGAACTCCTCATTAAAATCAATGGTTCTGAAATGTTCAATGGGGTTCTGAAAAATCAATGGGGAATTTTTCTTAAAAATCAATTATATGATATGGTCTTTTGTCAATTTTTTTGAATTCCTATTTCTGTACATTTCAAGTCATATTTTTGTTTTTCACCTACCACCCAGTCCCTCCTTCTGCTTTGTAGAGTTATAGACCTGAGCTTGGGACACTGGAGTATTTTTTCAAGAGCAAAATTCTCTTCTCAGGTGAACAAACTGGATCTCACCTCTGACATCCTATTCTTAAGAACTCCATTCATATGGAGAAAGCGGAGCTTTGGAGTGTACCTGCACCATGTTGCTCAGAGAGGTCATGTCTGCCTCATAGTGCCATTATGACATTATTAGAACTTGAACAGTTTTAAGTGAGACAACAGTTGTTTAAACTAAACAGATCATTTCAGGACTAGTGTCAACAACACAACTTTGAAGTTCATTTCTTTTAGCAACTAATTAAATGTCCTGTTTCAGAAGGGTCCCTTCTCTTTTGTTGGGCTGCTTGTGCCCACAGTATTTGCAGGTGCGAGTGCAGGCACAGAAACAGGGTCCTGACCTCATAAGAAAACATACTCACAGAAATCACGGCAAGCACGGTTATGAAAAGTGCGAGACGAGACGCATGGGGAATGGAAATGTCATTCTGGGAAGGACTGCACTACTTTATGTTGAAATAAGAACATTTCAGAATATTCTATGGAAAAGACTGTTCTGGGTCAAATGAAGTATTCTGTTTCAGTTTCTACTTTTTCATACATTCTAGTATAAAATCCAATAGCATATTTCAAACATTCTAAACAAGCAGTCATTTGGAAAGGGAAAAGTCAAGTGCATCACTGCAACCTTTGAAACAGAATGAGTTGACGGTATCAGAACATTTCTTCATCTATTTTCTCCTTAATGAAATTTCAGTTTTATGAGGTGTTTTACTTGTGATAGAGCTCCGTTCTCCAATGGCAAGTGATTCTACTGAAGTTTTTCTGACTAGCCCTGCTTAAGACCTAAGTCTACTTCCGGCTTAGAAAATGGTACAGAGGTGCAGAGTCAAACTCCCCACCAGAATGGCACCCCCAGCTCTAGATTCAGATCCAAATACTGTTGCCTGTAGTAAACAGTGGAAGTCACACCGAACTCCAACGGAGAGGGGATATAGGTAGGTAGCTTGCAAGTTTCAAATTGTTTCGGCTCATCGCAGTGTATCAGTTGGAGCTCTGACTTTGGTGAATTTCTCCTCCAAGGAATGTTTTGCTGTGAAAAAACTACTTCCTTATAAGAAAGTTTTACTGCATTTTCACCTTCCAATACCCTTTCCAGATGCAGGAATCCTCCGTGAGTAGTACCACTGAAGTCAACAGAATGAAGTCAGTTGAAACTACTCATGGAGCAGAGGAATGGTGTCAGAATCTGGCTCTAAACAGACTGTCCCCCTTTGTGAAAGTGTCTCTCGAAGAAGCTCCATCTGAGCGAATGGAAAGCACATTCATTCAGACTAGTGCATAATCACATGTGATTACGTGTAATTA